CGGGCCGCCTGCGCATTCGAAATCTCTTCTTGGGCAGGTAGCCGCACTTTGCAGCCCACCTTTGCGCGCCTCGCGCCGCGCCACCCGTGCCTTCTTTTGTCATGAGCGCGCTTGCGCTGACCACCCTTGTCGTCTGGCGTGCTCTATAGGCAGCGCAGTGCCGCAATGTCATATGTGTCTGATCACATTCCTCATCGTGACCCGACCTGACCTTGCGTAGGGTCTGCTTGAACATCCTTGGGAAAGGACAGCCTTGTCATTGCTTTCGGGATTTGTTGTTTTTTCTCTGGGCTGGCGCGTTGGCTTTTATGGTTTTTTGCGCGTGCTCGTGGCTTTTCGGCTGTTCTGCTTTTTGTTGGCTCGCAGTTTCCTGCCGCGTTGGCGTCTTGGCGTTGGCTTCTCAGCTTCTTAGAGCACCTTGTTCCCCCCCAACCCCCCACTTATTCCTAACCAACCCACAACCCACCGCACAAACCAACACCAAACTGTCCCGGCTAAACTATCCCCGTGCAAATTTGTCCCAAACAGGCCTGGAACCTGCCCTAACCAACCTTCAACCCACCCTAAACGAAAGCCAACAACTGTTGATGCTGAGGATGTTGATAGCAGCTGTGTTCATGTCAGAGCTGTTGACAGTGCTGGTGCAAAACCGGCATGGTTTACATTTTCCTTGACTTGTCGGACTTTCAAGAGGGCTGCCGCTGATCCAGTGCATTTTGCCAAAGCCATGGCAGCACCACACCTTGCGGGAGACCGCGCCTTGTCTTTCTTCTTTTAGTTCCCTGGCAGCGCCCGGCGCTGTCCGTGGGGTGACAACTGCTTCTGTTCTTCTGACTTTGTTCCAGGATAGCGAATGACTACTCGTTACGCCTCGTATACTGTTCCAGCCTGCCCACTTAGCGAACAAGCGATGAAGCCATGAAGCCATCAAAGCAGACCGCTAGCATTGGAGCGACTAGCATCAGCGAACGCGCGATTAAGCGATTGGGGTAAGGGTAAGCGCTTAAAGGCATGAGGGCAAGCTGTCAAGCGATTCGTCAAGCAAATAAGCGATAAAGCTATTAGAGAACACACAGGCGGCGCAAAGAAACTGAAAAGCTTTGCGGACTGGTGTAACAGCTGCATCGCCGCCAGAAAATCGAGAGCCGAGAGCCCGAGATCTAGCCGGGCAACGGCGTGCGTCGAAGAAAACCGCCCACGACGCCGCGTAGCGGCAACGACTAACAGCGTAACATCTTGATAGCTTCATTTAACGGCGCAACAGCTTGCTAGCTTCTTCTAACGGTGTATTGTGTCGAAAGCGCGACAACCCTGCCTACACCATCATTGAGCAGTTTGTCTCCGCCCAAATAGGTGATTTAATCTGAGTGGACGAACCACAGCTTCGTGTGTGGGAAAGATTTCCCCAAGGAGAGTTCATGTTAGGGACAAGCCATAACTTCTTGCAAACCCAAAAACAACCATTAAACCTACTTCTCATGATGATCTTAGTGTATGTGCCCCACGTCCGCACCTTTAATCAAGTGGGTGATTGTGAATGTTGACCGTTGCTCAGACTTGTTGCATGCCTTGCCACTGAACACACGGTAGGATCAGCGTTTTTGAGAGCAAACCTGTCCGAACTTTGACCCTTCGAACACTCCGCCTCGGCCGCCTCTGGGTTTACTGACCGTTCCCTGTTCGGTGAAAGGTGTCCATAGGGTGCGTTCCCCGCCGATGAGAAAGGGTGCTGTGCACTGGACCCCCCCCCCTCCCCCCGTAGGGGCGGGCGCACGTATGCCCGTTGTCTCAGGACTGGCCCGTCCATCAACCCGCTGCTGCGGAGCTTGCACCTGGCAAAGCCTTGCGCTCGGAGGTTTGTCGGCGAGCGAATGGGACCTTGGGCCGAACGTTTCTAAAGCTTCCAGCCGCTGACGCCGCATTTTCGAGTAGGGTATGGTTGTGGAGGTACGGAGGTTTACATACCACCAAAGGTACGTCGTGTTTAAAAGGGACGTTGGCAGGAAGCCAACCATACATATTTGTTGTTGCCGGCGGGGGGGGGTTCAGACGGCTCAATGAAACCAATACTGTTGAAAGTTTGTGGTGGCCTGGTTTGTTGCAACTGGGCACCCGGCTCCAGCCGCAAGAAGGGCTTTGCAGTGAGCCACGATCACAGCAGGGCAGATGAAGATTAGGGAACCGTCCCAACCATAAATGGATGACGCCAGAATTAGCTCCCCTTTTTGTTTTTTGCTTTTTTGGGATTCCACTACCCAGGCAAATGATATTTTTTTTTGCTGGGGTCCTAACAAGTTAACTCTTTACTTTACAGTCTTTACATAGTTTTGGTCAGACTCTTTCAATACCAAGTGCTGATTCTGACCCTGGCAACTACTCGAGGTCACAGGCAGCTGCTCGTCTCTTATCACTGAATGGAGAATGCAGGCATGTAGCTTCCAAACAGGATTACCATCTGCCGCCGGGACTGTTGCTTGCGATTTCGGAGGTGATTCTCATCCATTATGTTGTTCAGTACGCAAGGATTGGATACCTGTCAGAACCATCATGTGCATGACCGATTCTTCATGTAAGGAGCTCTTGACTGGCTGTGGTAGGGCAAAGGAGCTCACACCAAAACAGAATTGGAGCGGATGGAGCCAACGTTCACTTCAGATTTTATTAATCTTCCATTTGGCTAAGAAGATGTGCTTCGCCTGTTGGGCTTAAAAGGGAATCAATATCACTACTGGAAGTAGTTTCTCCTTTTCTCTAGGGCACTTAGGCAAATGGAGGTATGAACGGGAGCCGATTCCTTTCCAAAGCGCCGCATGGGTGCTTGGTTCTCAGATTCGGAAGCTGGAGAACCCTCGAAGCCCTCCCTTAGGATTTAGTCCAAACCCAACCGCAACCTTGTGGGTTTGAAGGCCGTGAAAGCTAAACCCACAAGAACCTAAGACAGTCACGGCCAACCACTGGAGCAGAGCAGGGTTATAGTAGCTGCATTGTTGTTGGGAGACATTTTACATTTTTGCTTATTGTGGTTTAGTGTTGAAATCCAACCACTTAACTGCTAAAATTTAAATGTTTGCTCCCCTTCCAAGGTCAACCAAGACAGTAGCTCTGCAGTGGGCCAAGGGCTGAGCTACAGTGGTGGATAAACGAACCAACGCTGGGCTCATGCGTTGTCTTGTTGTTGGGAAGACTAGGTCCCCCGGCCAGGTGCCCTGTTTAACCCCTTTTTTGGTTGGGAGGGTTCCCCTACTAAAGTAGACTACAGAAAAAGTTGGTACCGTTATTCTATCCTCTCTCCTGAAGGACCTAGAAGACCACTTAAGTGGCAAACCAAACCGTTTTGGCCAGTCCACTCGATCGGAAGTGAGAGGGCTCGTCGGCGAGTCCCAAGCCGATGAGTGGCTCGGTTTTTTTGGGGGACCCCCAAGCTGGCCTTGATGTTCTTTTTGGTTTCCTTTCAGAACCAACCAAAAGAGGCGCCGAGCCTGAGAAACAAAGCCCAAATCTCCCTGCGGAGTTCCGTCCCATTTATTTTGCCATTTGAAGTACTTCGTGCCAGGGTTTGGTTCTGGTTCCTTGTGTGTGTGTGCCCTTGTTCACCTCCAAACCAATGGGAAAAGCGCACCAAAAGCGGTTTTCTGGATCCAAAACACCTAGTTTGACACGCTTTCGGTATCCTTCGCTGGCGCAGGAGGGGCCACCAAGTGATTCTTCTGATGCCTTGGCTTGAGCCAGATGACCAGGCGGGTGCGCTGGGACGTCAGTCACTTGTTCTGGCGAAGTGAGGTATCTTCCCCAGAATTAGTTCCCCTTTTTTAATTGTTTTGCTTTTTTGGGGTCCCCTTTGTTTTCCACTAACCAGGCAAAAATAAATAGTTTTGCTGGGATCCTAGTTCCAGCCAAGGTATATGTGCTAGCCGTGGGACAACGTTTTCCCTATCTTAAAACCACTCTTTTTGCCTCACAAAAAGAAGGAACAAAACATGCACACACAGGCACACAGAAGCACACAAGTATCATTACCCCTTGCTTTTCGAATCTCCCCGAAGTCCAAATGGGCAGGGAGACTCTGTTGTTTTTTCCACACCCAGCTAAGAACCCCCTGCCAAAGTTGGCTCGCCTTCCGTTTTCCTTCGAGATTCGGCATCCTTCGCATGGATCATGTAGGCTATGGCGCATGCAACCGGCCCCCCCAAAAATATATATATATATATATATATATACATGCACGGATTTGTAGACGGACTGGTTGAGAATTTGCAAGCGTTTTGGTGGATGAACTGGCAGTGTTGGAGCTACATTAAGGCCAACATGCCATATCACTAGGTCCCCCAGTAGTGCCCTTTTACCCTTTTTTGCAGGAGGGTTCCGCTACTAAGATAGACTACAGAATCAAGGGTACCCTTATTCTAACCTCTCTACTGGAGAACCTAGATCATGACTCAACAGAGTTAGTGAATTACCCAGCAGAATGCGCTAGCTGAGTGAGCGGCTCTTATGAGGTATCTTGTTTCTCGTCACACTGGGAGCTCATGTCAGGCGCTTTTTATGATGTTGGTCGAGGAGTGTGTGGTTGTGTCCACGGTGTGCTGAACAGTTTGTTGGCAAAGATTCCGCAGATGCTATGTGTTGTTTGGCATTAAACAACCTCTGCAGGTATTTCCATGGATTCGCATTGTGCGGCTGTTTTGAATTATTCGCCGGGAGCTCCCTGCCAGCCAATGCTGTATGCTGACAAGCTTGCATGGAGGCTTGGACACGAAGCGTCACATTTGCTCAGCAGATTGCTTTTGCTGGTCAGGACGCAGCCGCTATGCCCGTTGTACTGTCTGAGAACATAGAACGTTCCCAGCAAAGCAGAGGGCCGGAGCAACTCGTATGGGTGTGGGTCAAAAACAGGCAGCCAAAACGGAATTTTGGTAAATGAGGACCAAATATTCGGTCCATATCCTGGTGCTATACAATTTGGACCCACATTTTTCGACACCACCCACAGATCTTTCAAAGATTTGGTGACCGCTGAGCCAAGCCTTCAAGCCCCGGAGCCGCGCCGCAACAGCGAGACCTGCTGCGATAGGCTGGGAATCGCCAAACCGCCGGTTGGATGGTCAGTCAGTCCATTTCTCATTGCCTCAGAACAAAAGTAATCTAAAGTTGAGCAAGGCAACGCCAAGGTGACGCGAATACGAGGCATGCAGCACTGTGTTGAATGCACGCTAGCGGCTGGGGTGTTTGCTTTCACCGCCATCGCATGCTGTGCTACCACCTTTGGCATGCTGTGTTACCACCTTTTTTTGCCCAGATGTTTGCAGGTTTCTCCCTTTGGCATTTCGAGGAGTCGTGGCATCAGCTTTGCCTAGGTGCCTGGGTGGATGTCGAAGACGATCCACTGGAGCCCTGGCGAGGCCAAACCTCACGTGTCGAAGAGGATGCGGTCAAACTACATGTTTGTCGCGGATGTATAGGGGTGCAGATGAGTCAGTTTCCGTTTAACCAGGGTGCGGAACGCGGAAACCGGCTTTCCCTGAAATTTGCTCACCCACAGGATGTCAAAGGGATGCGAGATTGTCCGTGCCGGGGGCAAGTCGAGTTTGCTTGGGGTGTCATCCATCCCAAAAAGTGGAGAATCGTTGCCCAGCTACTTGTATCCCTCGTGTTATATTTTCCACGGCTCAGGGCTAAGCCTGACAATTTAAAGTATATTTCCTGTCAGAGATGTCCCTTTGTAGCCTGCCCTCAGGCATCCTTGGGGCGTGCAAGTGAGGCACTCAGATGTGAGTGACATAGCTCTGAGGGCTTGCACTGTGTTCCTTGAGTTCCTCCCATAGCCCACAAATCGACAGAAGTCAGGCGGGCTCCTTGACTAGGTCCCCCAGTAGTGCCCTTTTACCAACCTTTTTGGCGGAGGGTTCCCCTACTAAAATAGATTACAGAAAAAAGGGTACCCTTATTCTAACCTCTCTACTGGAGGACCTAGATGAAGCAACATCCGTGAAGTTGTTGACTGAATGACGACGAATCCTGGTACCTGTACCTCTCAAACAGATTCATTGTACCCTTGCCTCAAGCAGTCGGGAGTCTGTTTTTATCGGGACGAGAAGGCGATGCGCCGCTTTGCGTCTATGAAATCTGAAGCATATTCATATTCTAGCGGGGGAGTCAGTGAGATTGGGGTCTTGCCTTTGGTCGGTAAGTCTGTCGTAGATCATGAAAGTTGTCCTATTCTTAGCAAGTGAGTTGTACAGGGAAGGATCCCTCAATTTCTCCTGATAGGACCTCCAAAAGGCATGGACCTGCAGGTTCTGTGTGTGTGTGAAGCAAAAGAACATGAATGATTTGGGTGTTTGGTTTCGGCTAGTTTCGTATTTGCCGGTGCTTTCCACTTCACCCAGCCCACAGCAGCTTCGGCTCTTCCATTCGTCTGCAGCTCGTCCGAGCTCAAGAGCGGCAGCCCACCTCTTCAATGCCGTAGACATCAGCTGGCTGTGGGTCAAGAAAAGGTACCCAAAGTGGAACCCTGGTAAATGGAAACATGGACTAAAGCCTGTGGTCCCCTAGTGGTTTAATTTTGACCCACACCCACCTCTTCAATCCCCAGATAAAGTACGGCCGCTTCACCTCACATCACCTCCGCCGCTTTCCGGCTCCTCAAAGGTTCCACCAACATGACAGTGCGCATCACCCTCCCCTCCCCCAGGACCACATCCCCATGATCGCGGGTCCTTCCTCCCCATTGCGTCTCCCCAGCATCGCTCCGGCCTTGTTAGGTCCGGCCACTGCGTCTTCCCAGCGTCGCTCCGCCCCAGTTCCCAAAAGTATTTCAGCACCCCCTCTGCTTCACGCGTCCGCTCCTTTCTTGCCTCTTGCGATGCGCCCTTCTTGCGGGCCAGTTTTGAGGAGCCCCTCGCTCTCTCTCTCTCTCTCTCTCTCTCTCTCTCTCTCCAAAACCCAGTTTTTGGGAAGCCTCCCCGTACATAAATTTATGTTTGACGAGTGTCCTTGCTGAGAAGCTGTGCCTATAGATCCCTTCACAGAGACAAACCCTGCAGCAAGCTCCTTCGCGCCGCGCCTGTTGCCCTATATCTCTTCTTGTCGAAACCTGCGGCTGCTTCGCCACGTGCAACAACTTGTATGTTGAAAAGGGGCATTGGCCTCACTTCCCTCCTGAAGACGACCTGTTCTGCGAGGCGTTCGCTCCCACACCCCCTCTTGCGTGCCTGCTGCTTTTGGGATCCCCCATGCCTCTCCCAAAAAACACTGTTTTTGGGCTCAAAGCCCTGTTTGTCGCCGGAGAGAGAATGCTTTTGAAACTTCTGGGAAGGCCCACATTGGAGTGGCTCGAGTTTCGTTGCATCTGGTTGGGGATCCGGCCTTTCCGCTTTGGCACATGCAAGACCTCTCAGAGGCCTTCTTTAGTTCAGCGGCAACGCGACAAATCGCGGAGGCCGCACGCGTAAGGTCGCAACTCCTATTTGGAGGGCGCTCAGAAGCAATTCCTCGATGTCACTGAGGCCGGCAAAAAAACAGATGCGACCATGGCTACTGGTGCCAACCAACTCAAGCAATGTAGCTCATATGAGTTCAACTCAGACTTGTAAGGCATTGTGTTCCCTGGAGGCATTTTGTTCCCTGGATTCAGATGAGGACTTAACGCTGGCTTCAGTGGTGTATACGTTGACCAAGCCGATGTATTAGCCGCAGCGCCTCCATGCGACGTAAGTAGCACATTTGGTACATTGCAAGAGGGGGCAGTTCTGAGAATGAATCCGTTCCTGAAAGTCAACCTGTGCTTCGCTTGGGGGGCCCGTTGCGGCGTCAGACGCAAAAGGCAATCACATCAGTGCCCCCCCCCTTTACTCTCGGTTCCTGCAGCTGTTGGGTCCAGCTTGCTTTGTGCTTTTGGGTGTGTTGCAGGGAGGCAATGCGCGAGACACGCAGGGCGACCTGCGCTTCCCAGTACTGCACGGAAAGCGCTTGCAAGACTCCGGAAATGCGGGAGACATGGAGGCAACTTTTGCTGCGCCAACTACACCCATGTTGTCGCAGGCCTGCCGCAGCACGACATGCCCCACATGTGAGGGGCGTCCGCTGCCCGGCGCGGCCAAGATGAGCGCAAGGAGCCCCAGCTGCACCAGGGCCTCAAGAGCGCAGATCAAGGATGCAAGGCCGCGTTGTGAGCAGCTGGAGGAATCCCCTACTGGCCGCGGCGCGGCGCCCTCCGAACTTTTCCCGGGCGGCGTCCAACTCGCCTGGCAACCAAGTGGCAAAGCCAAGGTCCACATCTTCTTGCACAAGCTTCATTAAGCTGGCAGGTTCCTTCGCCCCTGGCCCACGGCTTGTCCCAAGTGAGCAGCTCCAACGGAGGCGGCTCTGACACTTCCACTGCCCGCCAAGCCAGCAATGGTGGAATAGACGAGCGAATGCCAGTGGGAACACCTTCTAAGGAGAGCGCATAAATCCTGCTCTGGATCCTCTGCAAAGCGAGTGGCTGCCCGGGAAAAACCATAACATCCCGAGGCAACCTTAAAAATCTTACAGCTCGCTTTGCAGAAGCCAACCTCTGCGTCTGAAAACAACGGTACACTACTGACCTGCTGCACATGCGCAAGCAAACGCGGCACAATCCCCCAGTGATGCACACGCTGAAGCCACATGCTACGCAAGGATTGCAAGGCATCCGGCCCAGTGTCTGAAGGCTCCCAGTCAGCACTAGAGCAAACCCCGCCACCATCCTTCAAGCGAAAGGAACCTAGTCACTCGAACTGGCTACGCCCTTGCAGATGCCGCCGCACTTCGCACAAAAATGCCTGTATGGACAGGGAGGACCCTTGCACTTGCCATCGATCTACTTGTGACACTCACCCGTGCGCGCCCTGTTGTAGGCGCGACTGCTTGCATGTGTGGCTTCAGCCGGGAGAAGATGTCAGGATTTGAATCTCGGCTGGCGCACGGAACGCTTGGGCACACGCCCTTGTCCCGGGGTAAGGACTGCGCGCCCGACTTCTGGGCAGAGTTGAGCTCGCAGCACCAGCGCGGGGCGGACTGGCAAGCCTTGCTGCGCAGCGGGCAAGCCGAGTGTGTGGCTCTTGCTTTTGCTTAGCCCCGCCGCGCGTTGCTTGGAGTGCTTGAGAGGCGGCTTTTGGCAACGGCTTCGCATTGGCTTTGTGTGCTGCTAACTTGTAGGCCACATGAGGCTTGTGGCCTACAGGCAGCCATCAGCATGTTGCCAAAAAGTTGCGCGCCTGCGGTTTCGGGGTAAAGGGGCGGGGTCTGCGTCTGCGTGATGGGCCGGTTGCAAAAGGCAAGCACATCAGTGCCCCCCCCTGTACTCTCGGTTCCTGCAGCTGTTGGGTCACAGCTTGCTTTGTGCTTTTGGGTTTGTTGCAGGGTAGCCATTGCCATTTGAGCACCCCTCCTCCCGCCCTTGTGAGAGTATTGTTTTTGCTGTCGCACAAGATGGCCCATGTGTGCTGCTGCCTTGTAGGCCACACGGGGCTTGTAAAGAGAGAGATAGAAATAATAGAAAGTGAAACAAAGGCTGCTCAAGAGCATAAGGGAAGCAGCTGGAGAGACTGGGGTGCATTTATTATATGGAAGGGACTACGGGAGGTCTGTCATTGGCGTGTTTACGGCTGTTGAAAGAATTATTTCGACAGTGGTGCTGCGCTGGCCAAAAACGAAACACGCAGCCACGCACAACCTTGGAGAAGTAGTGGCTTGCCTAGCTATTTGACACCCTCCCCAAATGGCTCAGCTAAGGGAACCTTCAAAGGACTGCCATTCGGAATCCGCAGTTTGGACAGCGCCATCTCATACACTTGGTGCAAGCTTGTGTGCCTGCCGTAAAGCCAGGAAATGATGAAAGCGGCCACCATTGGCCGATCGTCAGAGATGGGCCCTGATTGGGAGCCGCCGGGAATGGTGCCAGGGCCTTGTTTGGGAAAGGTCTGGGTCGGTTTTTTTGAGGAAGACTAGTATTTTGGGGGGAAGATTCAATTAAGGACAGACCCACAAACATCCGATCCGAGTCTTTGGATTTGAAACTTGACAAGGCCGGAGACACCACTTTGGCAGGACACGCGGATGTTCAGCGTGAAGATGGGTTTAGGGTCTCTTTTAGCCTCCCACCAACATGGAATCTGACGTTCAGGAGCCCCTTCAACAAGAATTTGCTGGGATGCAACTTTTGCGCGCCGTGCTTGTCATCTGCACTGGTCAGCCCTGAGGGATGAATATACATCATACGCACCGGCGATTCACCGAACATCCTAAAATGGAGCCAAAGGAATTGAAGAAAACACATTCAAGGAGGACTGGCAGAGAAGAAAACAAGTTGTCCATCCGTTTGTCCATGATTTCTGTGCACTGCTCCACCCCAAACCAACGGCTAACGGGTGTATGGCCAAAGAGCACCTGGCCGGCTTCACCATGGCATTGTGTTGAATTGCGATGGGAAATCTCCGAAGACTTCCCTTTGAAGCCCTCAAAGCCAAGAAATGCAAACCATCCAAACCACCAATTAAGCTAAGCCTGAGAAGTGGCAGCTTCTAACACGTACAGATGGCACAGCCCCAGATGTCTCGCATGGTATTCAGGGCAACTCTCGCTGGTTGAAAGGGCCAACTTTGGGCCTGGAGCGCCAAAAAAGTTAATGGCAATTCTCAGTCCGAGTTTGGTCCTTTCACTGATAGAATTATATATATATATACACAGGATATATATATATATATTTTTTATTGAGTTGTGGGTAGGTTTGGATTTTCACATTTGACATTGGCTGAACGTAGAGCTTGTGTTCCGTATTAGGAAATTCAGTCCGAATGCTCAAGTTGGCGTGACTCCCCCGGGCTTTCTGAGGTCCCGGAAGATCGCCTTGGTTCTCACTACTGGAGGCAAATCCCAATAGAACGTGCGGCTTGGCTCACTCGAGTTGAGCTTGAAGGTCACTTGAGACCTTTGTTTGTGGCAAGCAACAAATGTGGTTGGCTTTTTCGGGCAGGAACTGGTGTCAAATTGCTCCCCCAACCCCCCATCCCACCAACCCAACCCATCAATCGAATGGCAAGCTTATTGGCCGAGTGCCCGTTCAGCAAGGGGATCGCTAGAGAGCCGTCGGAGCCAGACATTGATCAACTTGAGATGTTCGTGCTATGGCAATCGTGGAGCAAGAGTTTGTGGAAATGACGGTCAACTTAGGTAGATCTTTCCATCAATGCGGTGGAATTTTACTTGCAGGCAATCGAGATCAATCCGTTCTTTGCTTCCGCCGATCCGCCGGGGTGTAAAAACAAGTCGTGGAGAGAAGCAAATGCCGCAGGGCTTCCAAGAGGCTTTTGGAGTGAAACAAGCTCACTCATGAAGAAGCTTTTGTTTTGTTGTTTGTTTAGCCATGCGTCGGGACCAAGATCGGTGTGGTCAATTCCATTGTGACTTGAGTCAAACAATTGATATTTGGCATACCTTTGTTTACTGAGGATTCCTTCTTTGCCAAGCCTGCATATGTTGCCGATGTGCTGGAAATAGGCGGGGGGCTACGTTCCACTTTGAATGGTTTGAGTCCCGCCCACTTGGCATTGCCGTGCAAAAGTTCCTACGCAGGTCGCCGAACGGATGACAACAGCCAGCAGGCTGGAATAAACATGAGATTCATGAATGTTGGTAGCCTTTTTGTTGTTTTGGTCAAATATAGAAGGCCCGGTTGGGGTGTTTCATAATCTGCCAGAGCAATCTATTTTTCAAAAGGACATCTATGTTCATAAGCCCGATCGATTGCTAGGGGGGTGTTGACTCAACAAGGGCCCTAGAAATTTTATATAAAAGCTTTAAAAGCTACGTTGAACCTGGGTGGCCGGTCTGTCATCCCGGTCTAGCAACCCAGACTTGGGCCAAGATGTCATGGGCGCCGGCTCGTTGGCTCTTCCCAAGCTGCCAAGAGAATACGAAGTGGGCCTTGGAACAAAGGGTTTTTGGACCCTTGCTTGCTTAGGTTAATGACGTCAATTTCGACAGGGGGCGTTGCTTGCCGTGATCAATCCATTCACATTCTTTGGGGTCACTTTCTGTGGCTGAGTTGCCCAATGCCACCGGAAAAAACGCGCAGTTTCGAGGGTGCAGTTCTTGAGGATTGCGTGGGCAGGTTACAGAGCGTCTTAGAGCAATGAAGTCCAACATCAAAGTGCCGCAGGAGGCTCGGAACCCGTGTTCTGTCGATTGCCCGGCAGCGCGCAACGCGAAAGACGGACTGCAAATACGGCTTGCATGCGCCTTCTTTGTGGCTGACAGGTTCGGCTTAGCATGTTGCAAGAAACAGGATGCAGGATTCAATTTGGTCCGTGAGGTTTGCTTTGTTTCATGTCATTGCTTGGCTTGAACATGTCCCCCGAACTCCGTTCAAGCTATTGGTGTCTCTTGTCACCTCGGCGCCCCCCGTCTCGGGGAGAGGGTTCGTTTCGGCTCGGCCACGCACAGTAGGCGAGGGGATCTTGTTTTCTTGGGCGGCGGACAAGACTGAGGGCTTGCCATACTTGGCTCTGCTTTGGTTTTCGAAGCGCACGCTATGGGCTGCACGATTCATCTGATGTAGGGCGATTGATGTCCCTTGTAGAGTTTGGCAGATCTGACGCCTTGTGTTGACTTGTTTTGCGTCGCATGTTTGGCCTTCTCTCTGGCCAAGAAACTCACGATGAGTGGACATGTCATTTGGTGTGCCCTGAAAGTTCCCCTTAAGCCCATCCTCAAAAGTATCCAACTCGTTTTCACTCATACAAGACCCAGGGGTTGCCACAATTGGTGTGTGTGTGTGTGTTTGCGAGCCCAAAAGAACGGACCTTGGATTTCATCTTCCGAGATCGCCCCAGAGACACCTTGACGGGCCCATGTTTTGGTTGAGCTTGTGCCATTTTGGAGCCCTTGGCTGAAATCAAAACAAGCCAGTCAACTGGCTCGTGTTACTTCGCACGAAAACCAAAAGTTGTCCTTGAAAGAGGCGAATGCCGCATCCCATCGCCAGACTCAACTGACTTTGCCCTTTTTCCGCCTGTTTAGTGTTCTTTTGAACAGCTCAACTTGGGGTTTGTTGAAAGGGATTGAACAGCCAGGGATTGAAAATCCAGGGATCAGTACTGTTCCTTTTGGATCTGCAAGATGTGAACTTGTTGCAGGCAGCTGTCGCCAGACCACCTTGCCCAGAGGACCGCTGAGAGGGTTGAAGAACCCGCCAACATGCCCGTTTGAGCATACCCCCACACCATTTGAAGAATTCTTTAGGGATTTGTTGAAAACGGTTTGTTGGATGGTGTGGCCGCATTCACTGGTCCCGGTTGGGAGAAGACAGCTGACAGTGCAGCCTGGGTTGAAGCTTTCGGATGTACTTTTGGGGGTGAGGGTGTTGCTTCCCAGTCCTGAAACGAGGGCTACATATCAACCGGTTTGTGAATCATGGGTTTCCATTACCCATTCTCTTAACATCTGGGTGAATTATAACCACCTCACATGACCTCACCCCAAATGGTGGTTTATGTGGGGAATAGCCCCCCAACCACCTTATTTCAGGTTGGTGAAATATTATACTTCACCCAGTACCATGGCAATGGGAAATACCTGGACGATCAATTTCCTCGTGAAGGGACCCCTGTCAGGTGCCAGTGCTCTCAAGCCGCTCTCGAACCATGGGAAGCTGATCCCACGTGGCGAGGGCGCATTGGGGTGGCGTTCAAAGCCTTGGAAGTGATGGTGAGCCAGGGTGTGGCTATCCTTTTTTGAATCGATGGCCCTTAGCCCAACTTTTCAACCTTGGGGGATACTAGAGGTGAATTAATGCTATCACGCATGGATCGCTGGTTTCATGTTGGTACTCATGTGCCAGTGCCATCCATGTTTCCATCAGGACGCCCTACAAACGTTGTACAGACACCTCGGACTTGATCAGGGGGGTTGGCTCAGAGAATCCTCTAAGCGCACCTCTGCTTGCTCAAGCAGCGGGACGGAGGACTTTGGCTTCGGGTCGTCCAAGGGCCCTGCTCCGTTGATTTTTTTTGGCCGCAGGAGCCTCGGAAAGCGGTTCGCGTAGCTTCAACGCCTTCATTGTGGCCTAGACTGAACAGCCCAGCGGGCGGACAGGCGGACATTTCGTCTCTTTCTCTTTTTTGTTCTTTGTTTTCTCTCTTTCGTTCTTTCTTTCTTTCTCTCTTTCTCTCTTTCTCCCTTCTCTTTTTCTTTCTTTCTCTCTTTCTCTTTTTCTTTCTCTCTCTCTCTCTCTCTTTCTCTTTCTCCTCCATCTCCTCTTTCCTTTTCATCACTACTGTCAATACTGACATGTCCACTTCAGTTGAAAGATACATGTAGTATCTTTCAACTAGGGACGCTGTCAATGTACATGCGGTGTTGTGCTACATAGCTTGTGCGTGACCGCAGGCCTTGAGCTTTCGCTACATCAAGCGCCCTTGCAAAATAGGAGCTGTGCAGACTCTCCTTCTTTCTCTCCTCTCTTTTGACTCGGGAGCCCCGAACCCGTCGATTCGGGAGCCGACTTAGACTGACAGAACAGTTTACATATGATATGTAAACTATGTTATCTTGATGTTGGAGCCGAGCAGACGCTATTTGAGGCTTTTGCTGGAGAGTGGAATCCTGCATGGGTCATGTTGATATTTGAGCTCGGCTTTGGGGCTTCTGGTGGGGAACGGCATCTTGCACGGGTTATCTTGATGTTTGATCTGGGCAGAAGCTATTTGAAGCATCTCATAAAGAATGGAATCTTGCATGATGGGTTTCCTTGCTGTTTAAGCTAGGCAGAAGCTGTTTGACGCTTCTGGGGGAAAATAGACTCTTGCATGGTTTATCTTTCTTGTTTTTGCTTCTTTCTCTTTTTCTTCTCTTCTCAAGCGTGTTTTCTTCGTTGTTGTTTCATTGTTTCTTTCTTCTCTTCAAATTTTCTACAGCTTCTTTCTTTTTGTTCCTTATTGTAACAAATCTGCTCGATCTATTTTCTTACAGTTTTTCCATTTTCTTAGCTATGTGTATGTATGCATGTATGTGTATGTATATATGTATGTGTATGTACATATATGTATATGTATGTGTATGTGAGAATGTATGTGTACATATATCTACACACAGACTTATACATACATCTGGATGCATACACATACATACATATACATACACATACACATACATATGTGTATGTATATACACATACATAAGAAAATGAAAAAACTGGAAGAAATACATTGAAAAGGTGTCTTAAACTAAATCATCGTTCTTTGTCTTTATTCTTGTCATTTTTCTTCATTTTGTCTTCTTCTTTTTTCTTTTCTTCTTCTTTCAGTTTGTTGTTTTCTTTCTATTTCTCAATTGTTGTTTTTCCTTCTTCGCCTTTGTTCATTTTTTCTTCGCATTGTGTCTTCAACTTTTCTTGTTTTTCATTATTTGAAGACATGTTTTCAAGCTAGTTTTGCTTGCTTGCTTGCTTGCTTGCTTGCTTGCTTGCTTGCTTGGTTGCTTGCTTGGTTGGTTGGTTGGTTGGTTGGTTGGTTGGTTGGTTGCTTGGCTGTTCTTTTTGCACTGCTTGCTTGCTTGCTTCCTTCCTTGCTTTCCTTGCTTCCTTGCTTCCTTGCTTGCTTGCTTGCTTGCTTGCTTGCTTGCTTGCTTGCTTGCTTGCTTGCTTGCTTGCTTGCTTGCGACTGACAGAATTGCCTGAGGACTTTTCCCCTAGACATTCTGGTTGATGATTTGCTTGCTTGCTTGCCTGCCTGCCTGCCTGCCTGCCTGCCTGCCTGCTTGCTTGCTTGCTTGCTTGCTTGCTTGGGTGAGCACTTAACCCCTAGACACTCTGACAGAGGGGCGCCTGATGATGATGGTGATGGTGACGATGGTGATGATGGTGATGAGGATGGTGATGATGATGATGATGATGATGATGACAGAGGGACTGAGAGAGGGTTGCTGAGCTGATCAAGAAGGCCTGCTGGAGCAATCTCTCGAAGATTGCCCAGCTGGTCTTGGCGGGCCACCCCTTGACAGGGGTGCAGGGCTGTGCTTTGCTTTTGTGCTCCTGCTGCTTCTGCTCTGCAAAAGAAGTGGGGGGCAGGAACTTGCCATGCTACAAGTCCTAGCCCCCCCCCCAAAAGTGGCTGCTGAGCCCTCCAAGAGGGGGGGAGTTTCTCAGAGGAGCGACCCGCTGGCTCACTGTTTCAAAGGGCCCCCTATCTTAACAAAAACCCGTTTCTGACTTGACATAGAGTATAAGTCAAGCTCAGGTCACTGGTTCCGAGGTGGGCCTTTTCGGGTCGTTTCATTTCCAGTAGAAGAGACATTCTGAGAAACCAACAGTGGGAGTTGCTGAAGGGGAGGAGAGGTGGAAAGAGTGCAGAAGGGGCGAGAAAAACGGGGGCAGATTAGCAAGTGTGACGAACTGAACATGTGGAACTTTTGGGAGCGCACAAACATGCCAAGGAGCAGAGACATCAGCTGGGGCGCGATGCTCCCTCGCTGGGACCTTGTTGTCAGGGACCGGATGGCAAGCTGTTGCCGATCTGGGTCCCTCAGCAGTGCCGTTTTACCTTTCTTTCTTGGGGGGGTTCCCCTACTGAAATAGACTACAGAAAAAAGGGTACCCTTGTTCTAACCTTTGTACTAGAGGGCCTAGCGATGTTCCAACTGCCAAAGTAGATGCCAGGGAAAGGATGGCTTTGCGTGGAAAAATCGGAAACGAACCGTCCCGTGCGCTTTGATGCCTACATGACTAGTTAGGCCTGACCCGAGCATGTGCCCATTTGTGTCAGGTTGGCCGGTGGGACTTGCAGACAACACAACATGGCACTCCATTTGTTTTTTCTCGCTTCCTCAGTCAGTGAACTTTGGGAACGTGTTTGGGAAGATCATTTCAATGCTAAGCAAGCAGTTGGCACTTTTTTGGCCAATCCACTTGGGGCAAGTGTGCCTTTGAAGCCTGGGATCCCGCAATCAGGGCCTCAAAAAGGATGATTGAAGTGTGGCATGTGGCCCCACAGAACGTCTCGCAACCAGCGCAACGCCCTGCTGGAATCGTTCAGACAGGCTTGTCTTTGAAAGGGAGCCCAACAAATGGTGGCTTTCCTTTTTTATTGCGCCTAAAGGCAACCAAATGAGGCTTCCTGGAAAAGAGACGCACCCAGGTAGAGGCGCGTCGCTTGCGACGGCCGGCGCTTCTTTGGCTGCCTTGCCCCAACAGGCTTGGTTGCGGGAGCACGCGATGAACAAGCTTGGCTGGAAATAGAACCTCCCAAACGAGTTTCCTTTTGGTTTTCCAAAGCAAAAAGGATATTAGCAAGAAGAACCTCTTGCTCGGCTTGCTGCTGTGCAACTTAGTTGCTGAAGCGCCGCCCGCAAAGAAACCTTCATGCATCCCGGGCGAACCGGAGCACGCGCGATGCTCAGCAAAACCATGGGCAGCCGCGTGAAACTAAATGATACGGTGCCGGCCGCAATGAACCCTAAAATGCCCTAACACCTTCCAACAAGATCAGCATGAGGATCCCACGGCACAACCGTCTGAGAATGATTTCCGTTTTCGTGCATGCCACGGCGCTACCGAGGCCCGACAAACATGTATTTTGGACAGCTCTGGAAAGACCAGGAAGTTGACAGCAAAGCTTTGCTTTTTCCCCCAACAGCTGAAAGAGTTGCGGTCTCAGCCCAGATAGGCTCCAGGGTGGTCCGGCGGCCCTGAGGTAAGGTTCCACGAGGGCTCCACGAGGGTTCCACAAGGGTTCCACCAGGGTTCCACGAGGGCTGCGGGGTGGTGCGAGCACTAAAAAGAGCCCCACGTCTGAGCTTATTCGAGAAACGGCTTTTGACAAGTTCAGCAATCACAGAGTCGCGGGCATTATTGCCCCGGCTGCCTCATTGCACATGAGAGGGAAAGAAGGACGGATGAAATCATGCCTCCATGTATCCGTCCGTTTCTCCATCTACCCTTCCCGCACTTCTGACTCCGGCAGCCTAGGGGTTGATCTCATGCTCGTGGCTTGAGCCAACCTCGAAAGAGTCGGAGTGGATGGGACAAATCGTAGGGGCTATGTCTGGCCCTAAGTGCATCGCGATTTTCTCCATGGACATTTCTTCCAGGGGTTGCTTCACATCCAAGTCTTCTTTGCAGAAAGCAGCACCAAACATCAACCAGTCTTTGCAGAAGGCACCAAACATCCACCAAAACGCCCAAAACGCCCGAAGAACAAAACACGTGTCTCCACCGACGGCCCGGTTAGGCGCAGCTCGCCAGAGTGAACTGGGGGCCCGAAGAGCCCTCCCTGGCCGCTGGGCCGATTCTCTCGGGGCCGCGAGGTGTTCTGCGCCGCGCTGTTGGGGTGTTTGGGCACAACCCCCACGTGTGTTTGGGCAGAACTTTTGGGGCAACACCCACAACCCCCTTTTTTTGGGGGGGCAACAGATCGATGATGTTCCGTGGACATGGTGATATATATATATATGTGTGTGTGTGTGTGTGTGCGTTTTTTCCTTGGAGCGTGGAAGGCGGAGTGAAGCCAATGGGTGCTCAAAAGATGGGCCGAGGGAGCCTTTTTGGTGCTGTGGGACTCCTTCGGGTTGGAGACACGGTGAGCACGCAAAACGGTGTATGTTTGGAAGGAATGTTTTGATTCGACGATTTCAAAACTAGCACGGATTTTGAATGAAGCCGGGCTGGAACTCCAAACCCATCCAAACTGTTCTCATTCAGGGCTGCCTTATGACTCGAAGTGGTGTGGGTTTGCCTCCTTGTACACCCAACACAGTTCTCAAAGAGATCAATCGCCAATTCTGTTGCAGCCTTGAGATCATGGTACTTTGCCCTTTTTTGTCAAGCCCCAGCCTAGATCAGCCAGTTTTTCAGTGAGCTGACCCGGCAAGCCCGCAAGCCCCCCCTCTCCCCCTGAATTCAGGTCTTTGCTGCCGAGCAAAGATCAGTTTGGCCAGGCAAGCACAACGCATTTGGAAGGTTTGAAACACGTGACATCAATCTGAGCATACGCACAGAGCATGTATTGGTCTACAGAGTGGGTGTCACATTGTGCACTTGTGGGTGCTTTAACAGCAGGCTGCGGAGACAGCAGGAACTGAGTGGAATGCGATTGGTGTTTCCTTAGGTCGACCTTATTTAAAAAACTTGAAGCCTCATCAAGACTTAAAAAGTACCATTCGCAGAGGCCCAGAGGTTTAGGGGGTGCTTTCAATTGTTTGCTTGGGTGAGGGGATGCGACAGAATCGTGAATCGGCTTGAGAGCAGCGCGGTGCATACTGAGGCACGAGATAGCCGCTGGGCAGCATTGGCACTTGCGTCGTGCGATCGGTTTGGGCCAAGTCACGGCACATTCGGAGGTAAGGCTCATAGTGCGACAAGAGACACTTTCGGCATCGTAACGGCGACTCGGTGTTTTGCTTTATGAGATGCCCGCCTTGAACAATCTAGCAGTTGATTGTCTCATGATGTTGGATCGAAGCACATTTGAAAGTACCTTGCAAATCGAGAGGGGCGTGGTTCAGAGGGCTGCGCACAGTTATCACCAGAAGGCTGTCATGTCTCTTAAAACAGATATGAACAAGAATGCTCCGCTCTGTTAGATGTTCAGGAGTTCTCAAAGTTTTTTGTGCCGGCGGGGCCCGAGAGCTGAACGGATGAACTTTCTCAAGGATACAGGCCTCCCCAGATGCCTTTTGGTGAAGCCGAAGCCGAAGAGACGAATTGCGGCGCGCGAGGCTTTAACGCGATGACCAAGAACCAGAAGTGCGACGTCACTGAGGCCGCGAATCGGATGCCGCGCATGGGATGCCGAGAATCCGAAGGATGAGCGAATGCGAGCTTTTGGCCAGAAATAAAATGGGAGCAGCGCAGCTGAACCTCCCAAAGAAAAGAGTTGCGCGGTAGGCCTAGAATGCAAGAGCGAGGGCTCGAGATCAAGCCAAACCCAAGCTGTGTTGGGTGAGTTTGGGTGCATTGGTGTGGCTTTGGGGCAACTGAAAGCAGGGGGCTGCTATTTGGCATGCTTCTCTCTTAGGAATTCGGTGGAGTCGGTGGAAACGCTGGGTGTTTGCCTAGATGTGTCCTTGGAGGTCCAGGGTTTCAGTCATCCACAAGTGGGGCGCCAGGAACGTACAGGAGCAGGAGCCAGAGGGGCACAGAACATGACGATAGATTCCTTGAGTTGATGCTCTGTTATACCCGAAAGAGGCTCTTGAGATTCCTCAAACTTAAGTCATTATGCTTCCACGTTGCTTGGGAGAAGGTGGTTCTCCCTCAGAAAAGTGGCGCCAACCCCAAGCTGCAGGACTTTGTGAAGTTGGAACCCATCGCACCCATGGCTCATAGCAGAGCAGATCATGTCTATGTTTCGGGGCCCAACCCGTTTTGACATCCCCAACAGCATGTGGCTCGCTTGTTCGACCCTCGCGGAACCCTGCGAAATTATTTCAGAACCCCCGCAAATTGTTGCGGAACCTTACCGCGGAGCCCTTGAGCCTCACACCTGACCTACCAGACCTCGCAGGGCCTCCGGAACCTTGCTCGAATCTGACTCCACTCCAGCAACTCCAACACAAATCTTCTCACACGCTCACCCCAGTTGAGCTGTGGGGACCATTCCAGCAGGGATGTCACTGGGGCCTGTTGCCCTTTGGGTTCACTTCATGAAACGTTCCCGCACCTTGGGAAGAATCCAGGTGATGATGCGCGAGGCCATGATGGGCAAGGCTGCCGTGCGCTCAATGTGAGGCGTTCGCAGAGAAACGCAGCGTTGCAACTGAATTGAGGACATGAAAGCAAACAGTCCAAAGGGCTTGGATACGAACATGGACATGGATATGGGTTAACAAAATTTTACCACCAAAAACAGAGAGGGTACGCTCGAGTCATTTCAATGAAATCACACAAAGCCCACGGGGGGGATGCCCCCTTTAGAGGATTTGATCAAGCTGGGTCATTCATCATGGGCCAAGATGAGTACTACCAGCCAGCTCGAAGTCAGCCCATTCTTTTGACCAGCCCCACACAAGCGGTTCGAAATCCAACAAGAAACGGAGCTCTTTGCCCCGTGAGGGGTGAGGGTGGACCATGCAACATGGGCACCTGACTTGGTCCTGAAAGATGGGCTCTGGTGGGTTCCATGCGACAAGCCCCCCACTTTGGAGGCGCAAGCACCCTGTGAAAGGGCCCCAAAAGTGGTGGTGTGCTTCAGGAAAGGACGCAAAAAGTCCCCTTTTGTCAGGGAACATCGCAGATTGCATTCTATCCCTAGAGATGTTACACAGCCAATTCGGTTATACAAGTGTTCGAAAGGCAACCAAAACTAGAACCAGAGTCTTGAGCACGGCGTTGCCCAGAAGAGCGTTTGGCCTCCCCATGTGTTCATTGAAAAGGCCCACCCCCAAGTTGTTGAACACCCTTGAGTCCAGAAAGAGAGAGAGAGAGAGAGACAGAGAGAGAGAGAGAGAGAGCCCGGCGATGGGGTGTTGTACGTTGTGGAAAGCACAATTTTCGTGGTACAAAGAAGGTTCAGACCTTGAAGCAAACCAAACGAAGCAAAACTGCTCACCCAGTTTTTGGGACACACGTCAGTAGCTTGCATCCATGGTGGGCAACCAGTTCCCCCAGTTGTGGCAACATCACCTATGTGTGTCTGCCATGGTCAACACAGCCTACTTGAGGTTAGGAGATTTTGAGGGAATTTAGACCAGGATTCCTGTTCGAGCTATGGGAGCCGGCTGTGACCATGTTTTTAGAGTCCGGGGGCACCTCGAAAGCTTGGCTTCTGGGTTTCCCTCTCCAAAACTGGGCCGTTCCTCAAGGAATCCACTTGGGTGTTGGGAAACTCACAGGGGGCGGGGGTCCCTCAAAGGAAACCACCTCTTCCAGCAAGCACCAGGCTCAAACCTACAGAGTTCCCCACACCTTTTTGAGAAAGGCCCAAACATTGAAACCCACAAAGAGGGAAACCCTATTCTGGGTTCGAAGTAGCCTTAATTCTCAACCATTCCATTTTTTTGAGAGGGGAACTCATAAGAGCATCTTTTCTTGATTTTCCCGGACCCCCTATCGCAACACGCCCAGTGTGTTGTTTCCTTTGGACCTGTCTTACCAAAAGAACGTCGCGCCCTTTTTCGGCGTGGGAACCACGGAAGATAGCTGAAACAGGTGAAATACGGCTCCATCTGGCGCCTCCACTTGACCGTCTTTGGGGCTTGAGGGCTTCAGAAACCCGCTGGAGATCCTTAGGCCATGATGGGCCCTGGATGGGACCCCCCGGGCTTGGTGAGTCGGAAGATCGCGGAGGTCCTCTCCAAGCGGTGAGAAAGGCGAGGCCTGCGTCGGGGGGGGGGTATTTCATCAGGGCCATCAGGTAAGAAGGTGTAACCACGGGTTATGTCTGTGATATGGTTAATATCAGGGCTAAATGCAGCCTTTTCTCACAAACTTAGATGTGAACATGATTTGTTTAGTTCGTTACGATGGGATTTTGAGGCCCCCCTTTTCAGGTTGGTAAACGAGGCATCTGGAGTTGAACAAACATATGGGTGTGTTGTTTTTTGTTGAGGGTACCAGGAGGGGTGGCCGTTTCTTTCAGCACGTGGTGCACCTAGTTCAGAGAACTGGAAATGTGCTATGTACCTGGGGAAACTGAGATTTGCTTGTACACATGATTCTAGTTCTCGCCTATCCAAAAAGAAGCCCGGCTGCATCCGGGGGTGATCTAGTTGGGTGCCATAGAGGTGCCGCTTGAGACCGGGAGTCCACCTATGGGCTTACACTTAACCCGTTGAGAGGCCCAGAGGTCTAAGGGAACCATTCTCTTCACGCATTCCTACCCGCTGATTTTTTCTTAGAGAAACGGAGAGACCCTTGCCACGCCCAGGCCTGAGGTCTTTCCTCGTGCACTGAGCATGGGTTGAGCGAGCGCGCGCCGGGAGCCAAGGAGTCCATCACAGATGGGACTTATTTGTGCCAATCCACTGGGGAAGTGGGAGAGAAGAAAGGTGTGCTTCAAAGGCCTGCTTGTCAAAGTTCGGTCGGTGGCCAGAACAGTCGGTTCGAGAAGCCGGACTTTCTGCAGAACATGTGCTAGACATGCAGTGCTTTTGTGTTCCCGGGCAGGTTTAAAACCTCAGCCCGACGAATCGCCTGCTTTCTTTAGGCCTAAAATGGAGCGATCGGGGTGCCTCCAGGAGACTCCAGTGACTCGCAGCCGGCTTGTGCAAACCATCGCGGCCCAGGAGTTTTCCGGGCTCAATCAAGCGGCCAGGCCTTCGTGTATCCCGAGGAAAGCCGCTTCCAGACCAAGGAAGAGCAGGACAGCACCAGGTGTTCTCCTTTGAAGAACCCCATGTTCGGTTGGCTTTGAAGGGCCGAGAAGGAGAACAACATTTCCTGCATGGTTCCCTAATTGTTGCAACCAACCCAAAGGAAGTTCGGTCAAAGTGTCCAGTCTGTGGTCCATTTGGGAGGGACATTGGAGGGCAATGTGTGTGTGTGTGTGCGTAGTTATTTTGCCCCTTTGCCCTTGCGTGAAGATTGGGGACCCCCTTTGAACAGAAAAACCACAAAGCCAACTATTTACCTACTTGCAGGAGGGGGTGAGAGAAAAGAAGCAGCATCGACCCCAAGCAGCAATTGCGCACCTCAGATCATTTCGATCGGACCACAAATTGCCAACCGGAGACAATGTCTGGGCAGCCAATTCTAGGGGACAAGGCGGTGCCTCTGCAAAGAACGAACCACCAATGGGGAACTGTTGTTGTCATATGCCGCAAAATGAAGCGGGGTATGTTAGTTCCTGAGGCTTTAGCTGCTGAATGGGGGCAAATTGTTTAGTGCTTGAATTGGATTTCATAGCTGCTGAATCGTTGCTGAATCTGGCATTGTTAGTTGAAGCAGGCCGCGTTGGTTCCTGATTTCCTTATGCTAGGTCCCCCAGTAGTGCCCTTTTTACCCTTTTTGGGGGGAGGGTTCCCCTACAAAAATAGACTACAAAAAACAGGGTGCCCTTATTCTAGCCTCTCTACTGGAGGACCTAGTTATGTACTGCCCGGGCTTTGCTTGGTTACAAGTAAAGCGGCAAACCGTGACACTGTGCTAGAAAAAAAACAAGCGCGGAGACAGCAAGGGCGTCAGTGGGAGCAGAGTAATTCTTTGCATATAGGGAGCCCCAGGCAGCTAAGCTGTTTGGGGCAAAACTAAAAACAATAAGCCAACGATACAACCTTCGGCAATCAGACTCGGAAATAAGTTGCTGACTCAGCTTCGTCGCAGCTTGGATTGGGGAAAACTAGAATGGATTAACTCAAGACTACTCAGAGGATTTGTGCCCTTCCCCCTCTCTTGCCCCTCCCTGCGTTTCCCTTGTGTGTCTATACTTATACGTAGTTTGCTTCTTGCCAAGAAGGACTGCAAGCCCATTCGCCTGTGCTTAAATCCACGGCACATACTCATGTAATCAAACAGAGCTGGGGGGTGTACCATATGATATTTTGTTTGCCCAGACTCTCGTCCAGCCAAGAGGCCAAAATTTTTGGGCAACTGAAACGTATATTCAAATGCGAACTGCGGCATGCAGCTTCAATCGCGTCGTTCGATTTTTGAATTATTAAATATCAGAACACTACGTGTAAGTTTCTAGTATACTATGCTTGTGTTTTCTCCCGAAAAGTGGGAAGCGTGTAATTTATGGTGCAGAAGTTCATCACGAATTTGCCCAGGAGAGGTACATTTGCAAATGGTGCCGCGAGCATGCCAAGATGGACCCGGAGAAGCTCGCGCTGGAGTTTCGCTGGTACCAGGCCTTTTGGGGCTTGCGAAAACCGGCGGAACGTGGTTTGCATCCTATGCTTAAGCATGGCATAGGCCAAATATTGTTCGGATTTCCAGCGCCTGAGACCCACATCTAGAGGGAGATTTGGAACCTTCTTGCAGGCCATGTGGAAATGCAGATCGTTGGAAGTGTATCACAAGGACCGACGCCTGAACAATTCCCCCCAGACAAATGTTTGTAAAAGAGGGGAAGCAGATCAAACACGCTTTGCAAAGGCCAATGCCGGGCAACAAAGGCAGCTCTGCGGGGCAACAAAAGAGAGAGGCGTGAAAAATGGTACGGAGGAACTAGGTCCCCCAGTAGTGCCCTTTTACCCTTTTTGGGGGATGGTTCCCCTACTAAAATAGACTACAGAAAAAAAAGGTACCCTTATTCTAACCTCTCTACTGGAGGACCTAGGGAAGGTGCAGCGGAAATGATAGATTGCAATCAAGGAAGGTCTGGAGGACGGTGTCAAAGCCATCGAAGAAGGCGAGTGCAGGAAAGAGTGGAACTATGGACATGCAGAGCAATATGCGATGATTGCGATAGAGGGTTCTTTGTGAGATTCAATAGAGGAGAGCCGAGGGCAGGGGAGCAAACACAACCTTTGTGAATCGTTGTTTATTTCAATGCTTGGTTGAGCTGAAGATGTTCTGGCGGCAAGACCTCCTGGTTTCCCATTTGCACGCAAGTTGTCCGAAAGTCCCTGGAAGAGACGCGTAAGTCCCGAAGAGGTGCCGTTCGGCTAGGATTCTCCCAGGTTTGGTCGTGCAGTGTTGTCCATGGGCCCTCTCGTTTTTTTCTCGGGCAGTCAAGAAGCACAATCCCAAGTCCCAAGCCCGAAACAGCATGGGATCCCAAACTTGTCTTTGTGCTCCGTGCTTTTGGGCCCATCACCTTTTGGCAATTTCAAGGCAGGTGGAATGAAGTAGGAGCCCTGATTCAGGCCAGCTATGTGGGCACTGTGCGGAGCATTTTCCCCAAGAGCGGTGACAACTCAGAGGCGCGCGCCCTTTGGAGGAATCGAGAAGGGGAGTTGAGAACAAATTTAGACCTTTAAGTTGACGAAATGTGGGTGTTCTCAAAATTGGTATCCCCTAAAATGTCAACGAAAAGGGGGGGAGTTCCCCAGCTCCCACATGAACCAACATCTGAAAATCGCCCCTAGTTGCGAGGAGTCTCCTGGGCCACATGGTTTGAGTCACTTGATGGATGGTCGGGCGGGTCATGTGCAAACCCTCTGGTTCACTTGGTGGCCTTGTTGGGTGAGGCACTTTTGCATGACATTTATATAGGCATTGTGATTTGTGAGCTTTTACAAAAGAACGGTGAAAGGTCTATCGCTTTAACGCCCAAAAGCACACGGTCAAGTCTGGCCCGTTCGATCATTTCTCCAAGAACTGTTCGGTGAACCAAAATGGGCCTTTCCTTATTTGACCATGTCACTTACGAAAGCAATCGTCATAGTATGCTTGACAACTTGTGGTTTTTATCATAAAAGATTCATAAAGGTTTCATAAAAGTCATGAAGATCCTGAATAAACACACTGCCAAGACACGTGGCGTAGTCAGCCTCGAAGACAGTCGGCGAGACGGGTTTGAGGTGCTGGCAGATGCGCCCAAGGACGTCCGAGCCTCAAGTCCCGCGAATAGGGCGAGGCTCGGTACCCTTTTCAACTCAGGAAAAGCAGCCTTGTAGTCGGGTCCCCTTCGACATATAGCCCCACTCATTCCCTGAGTTCCTGAACTTCAAACTTGTTGAAATGACCAGACTTTTTCTCGCCAGTCCATCAGGAAGTGAGCCCACGGTTTAATGTCCACCTACGATTAGTAAACTACCCCTACATAAAGCTAAACTTTTCCCAAACCAAATAATAAGCTACCCCTAAATACATCTAAAAAAATGCTCCCCAAAAAATTGCTCTGATCCTTTTTTTCAAGGGCAAGCTTTCCATTCAAGCTGGCTCATCATAGATATTGATTCCAATTCCATCAGATCCCAAAATTATTGAGCGATTCTCTTCATCAAATTATTTATCTAGAAACCTTCAACAATCACAACTTGACCCTGCCAGCAAGGCTACCCCCGCATGAAGCCTCATGCGCTAAATAATTCCTGACCCTAAATTCAGCTAAGCTGATTCCCACTGATCCAACAATTGCTCTGATCCCTTATCTTTATTCAGGGGCAAGCTTTCCATTCAAGCTGGCTCATCAAAAAATGATTCCAATTCCATCAGATCCCAAAATTATTGAGCGATTCTCTTCATCAATTTCTTTATTTGGAAACCTTCAATCACAACTTGACCCTGCCAGCAAGGCTACCCCCGCATGAAGCCTCATGCGCTAAATAATTCCTGACCCTAAATTCAGCTAAGCTGATTCCCACTGATCCAACAATTGCTCTGATCCCTTATCTTTATTCAGGGGCAAGCTTTCCATTCAAGCTGGCTCATCAAAAAATGATTCCAATTCCATCAGATCCCAAAATTCTTGAGCGATTCTCTTCATCAAATTATTTATCTAGAAACCTTCAACAATCACAACTTGACCCTGCCAGCAAGGCTACCCCCGCATGAAGCCTCATGCGCTAAATAATTCCTGACCCTAAATTCAGCTAAGCTGATTCCCACTGATCCAACAATTGCTCTGATCCCTTATCTTTATTCAGGGGCAAGCTTTCCATTCAAGCTGGCTCATCATAGATATTGATTCCAATTCCATCAGATCCCAAAATTATTGAGCGATTCTCTTCATCAAATTATTTATCTAGAAACCTTCAACAATCACAACTTGACCCTGCCAGCAAGGCTACCCCCGCATGAAGCCTCATGCGCTAAATAATTCCTGACCCTAAATTCAGCTAAGCTGATTCCCACTGATCCAACAATTGCTCTGATCCCTTATCTTTATTCAGGGGCAAGCTTTCCATTCAAGCTGGCTCATCAAAAAATGATTCCAATTCCATCAGATCCCAAAACTCTTGAGTGATTCCCTGCTTCAATTTCATTATCTGGAAACCTTCAACAATCACAACTTGACCCTGCCAGCAAGGCTACCCCCGCATGAAGCCTCATGCGCTAAATAATTCCTGACCCTAAATTCAGCTAAGCTGATTCCCACTGATCCAACAATTGCTCTGATCCCTTATCTTTATTCAGGGGCAAGCTTTCCATTCAAGCTGGCTCATCAAAAAATGATTCCAATTCCATCAGATCCCAAAATTCTTGAGCGATTCTCTTCATCAAATTATTTATCTAGAAACCTTCAACAATCACAACTTGACCCTGCCAGCAAGGCTACCCCCGCATGAAGCCTCATGCGCTAAATAATTCCTGACCCTAAATTCAGC